GGGGCGGGGCGGGGGAGTTGGGGGTGGTGACTGGGGCAGAGAGCACGTGGCTTAGAATTTTATGCCACCCAACTAGGTAATTTCTAGAAATACAACAGTAAGCATCTGTAAAAAAAATACAGGAATATGAACCAAACTACACTGTACATGCAGCGCCAGCAGACTACAGCAGTATGTCAAGATTTGAGCAAAGAAAAATTCTTGATTAGCAATTAATATCATAAAAAAACATTAATAAGAAAATCCGCAAATTTTCCTTACAGTATTTTGTGCATGAATAAAATGAATCACTTGCCAAAAGAATATCCAAAGAATCAGTAGCTAAGTAAACTTACTATGTATGGAACAGGCGCATCTAAAAAATCGACCATATCATTGGGTAAAACCTGGAAAAACCACAGTTATTAGAGAAAGATTATGCAATGGAATTTAAGTGTTTTGAAAAAAAATAATAATTATGCACTGCAGAAATTCTTTTGATGGACCAGCACAAGCAAAATCACTACAGAAACAACTTACTTACTGGCATTAGCAGACTCTGCCACTGGTAAGGACGAATTAATGGGATTATGGATAAAACTGAGGCAGATAATATTCCCTGAATATAAAAATACAGGTCTTTCAGCATTAAATAACGGAGACAGAATTTGCCTTAGCAAGCTTTAGCTTGTAAGAAATCCAAATAAACAGCAGATGGATTAATTTTTATAAAAAAGAAATTCTGGGAACGTTTTAAAATTTATTCAAGTGAAAAATGACAAGTAAATAATATCTGAAATATAATAAAAGAAAGATAGAACCTGCCTATGTATGGAAGTGCTACACCATTGATTGATGTTCTAAAAGCAAAATCTTTCATGCCTCCTCTATAGCGCCATGAACACACATCAATATAAGATTAATTTGTAAATGAAATTGATATCTATGAGATGTCCTAGAAAATATTGACAAATTTCTATTTTCCTAAAATATAAATATTAAATTTAATTTGTGAAAGTTAGTTATAGATGCTAGCAAAAATTAGGGAAATTCAAAAATTCACCCTTGGAATTTCCCCGCACTTTCCAATTATCCTAGGCATCAGATCTAGAAGTCTTAATTTTGATCACTTTGTCATCCTGTTTACACAGAATTTAACTATTCTGAGTTAAGAAAATAACATAATATGTATTTTTTTAGTCTACCTACTATGCACATTTATATACGTTTTCACCTATTGCAAATAGGTGCAACCGATACTTGAGCCCTTGACTTTCCCTAAATGTTTGGTATTGTCCATGTTTTTTGTATAGACATCTACGAATTTATCTGAAGCTTTCTAATAAATATTGTATTAGTAGATCAACAAAATCACCTGATTTTTATGTAACAACTATTTTTCATAATGTTTTATGTGATATATTACGACTAAAGACGTGGGTTATAAGCACTAGATTAATGAAAAAATGCCAGTCAAATCAAGGTCACACTGCAAGCCAGGGATATATTTGCACATCATTTACATGAAGACCCGCATATACATGTCAAGGTGTCCTATCTGTAAGACAAAAATCATTAAAACTCATTTTCTACCTACTCTTTAGTTTACCTCGCACCACAGGGAGATCTAAAAGGCATGATCTATATAGACCAATTTCAAACAAATAAAATAAATAAAAAATAAGTCTAACATGATAAAAACATTCTACTTATAGTAAACCTAAGAAAATATTAAATTAATAATATAAAATTAAAAGATATATTTATCTATTTTGAGCTAATAATGAGTTGAACACAATTGAACAAAGGCCTGTTCAAGTTCAGAAAACCAAGCTCAAAATATATGTTTGTATTCAACTAGCTTACTTAACAAACGAATCGAATGCGAGTTTTTAACAAGCTATACACGAGTTTTTTGTGGAAGATCAACTTTATTAAACTCACTAACCACAACTAAATTCATAAGCCCTAATAACTGGCGCTTCTTGAAAGAATACCAACTACAATTGGAAGAATTGTTCTTCTAGTACTTCCTATTCATTCATTTTTCATGCTCACACACTCTAAATTCCTTTTCTCAAACCAAATATCTTCCCATTACTAGTTCTACAACGCTACTGAATTCCCATGATTTTAACGACATATTCTAGTCACTGAAAGCAATAGAATTCCGCAGGTAAGTCCCATTCTAACACTAACAGCAAATGCTTCCAATGTGAACCTAATCAGTTATCCTACGAGCACAAATAATTCATGTCCATGGCAGCTTTCCACTACAAGTAATGCAAGAAGTTTTCTTAGTCTAAGAGAAACGAAAATTCTCACCATTTTGTACAACTCTTTCAGCCCCATAACATTCAAAGATGAGAGAAACCTCAACTTTCTGAATGTTCCCAAAAATTTCTTCTCAGAAAAAAAATTGCCAAGTTTTTTTTTGGATTAATCCCGCAGATATATTCTCAATACAGTAGTAGATCAAGCTTCATTTAGAGTATTTTTATCCTTCAATATTTTAAAAATTGCAAATCTAATGCAATACCTTGAGCTTTTAATTTAAGTGCCTGGATCCTTCAAAATAAAATACATTAAAAATATGGTTACTTATTTAACATAGAGAAGCAACTTGAGGTAACGCATTATGATTTTGTGTTGTGGACGAGGATTGAGTATGCCTTGACGATATCCCTCATATAAACTGACACACCTCAAAGCTCTTTAGTAATTGGTTTAATCTCTTAACAATGACACATTATTTGACATTACCAAGGGTAAGTAGATGTAAAAAACATAAATAAAATAAAGAAAAACCTTACGGTAAGTAGATTTGTAGGTTTATATAGAAAGGTTAGCGGTCCTTAAAAGGCATTTCAAATAAGACTGCAGAAGCCCGATCGAAGGAAAAAAATGCAAGCAAAAAAATAGATGCATTATCAAAGGCCGTGGAAATAGAGAGCACTAAAAAAAATCAAATAAAAGACCAACCAACGTAAAAATAGAAAACAGTGAAATTAACTGCTTACCAGAGTAGAGCATACAACCACAATTTGTTTCTCCAAAAGAGCCCCAGCAAATAAGGCTAGCACCTGAGAGAGAAACGGTAATTAAACAGAAAAATACCAAAAAAATGAAAAGGAAGAAAAAGCTCATTAATATTTAATTGCAGCTCTTTTACAGTACTATCTCCAATTGTAGTAAAACACTAGAATAGAGGAAACCTATTCCCAGTAGCTGCTCGTTAAAGCTTCTACAGAATGCTTTGCTAATGTTCATGTTTTACTATGTATAAAATACTCGACTGATGTGGGTATCGCGTGTCTACAGGACACAGAATCACGCCAGGCACGATTCCGACAGGTTTGGTCCAGCCAAATCAATGGCCGGCCGGTAGGTTCTCTGGCCTACATGGGAGTGCCACCCAATAGGGTGGGGCCACTTCTTGATAGCCTAGGTCAACATATGTTGCTATGTCGTGTTAGGCTTGGGAGTTTTTTTGTGTTTTCTATTTAGAACAGCCGTCAGCGTCCTTGTGTTCCCTTCTAAGGATATATACGAGGCTCTAGTGGACTTCTGGATGCATTTGCTTCTGAGGTGGTGATTATGCTTCGCTCCACCCTTCTCCCATCTTCCCCATGCCCCGCTACCGCAACCCAAACTGAAGACCAACCAGCTGTTTCCACAGTTCCAGCCATCGTTCCTGCGTGATGCCACTCGGACTGCATCCCATCTTGTTGTTTTCTCACTGTCCAGCCATCTTGCATCCTTGCCGTCACTCGGAACATCCACCCATTGCTGTTTTACCAAGGTTTTGAAAATAGGACCAGACATCAAACCAGAGTGAGAGGTTCAAGGTTAAAGGTTCATCAGTTCAAACGGGGTTGAAGCGGATGGCGCAATAAATATAAATGTTAATTAAATATGATATAATAACGACAAATATATAAAAATAACAAACTGATAATAGTTAAAATATGAAAAATTATTATAATTTAACATACACATTCATTTTGCAATTGTAAATTTCAAATAAAAGGTGCAATTTTATAACTTAATAAACATAACATTAACAATTATTGATTCATTAATCATATTAAAGTAGTCCCACACAAAATATATAATGTAAATAAAATAAAATAACAGTAACAATTAAAAGATCATCTTCATTTTTACAATCATCTTTCCAAGTTTGTAGCTGAAATGGGAATCAGAAGAATGCACCACCTATTCTATATCAGATTTGAAACAGCAAGCCTAGATCCGAGCCCCTAAATCTAAAAAGCCTTCAAAAAAAGAAGGTACAGCATTCAGCAAAAAAGAACAGGGCATTGTAAGTTTGTAACATTTCTTTTTGGTGCAGCAACGGGATGAAGCCGCTAATAGCTTAATCAACATCCCTTACAGTGGATGCTGAGAAATAAGAAATATAAAATGAAAAAACTGCCGTGCTAAATTAGCATCCATAAACTAGGGTTTTGCACTGCAGCAAAAAGCCAAAAAAAAAAAAAAACGGGTCCAAATAAAAATCTCTGTAGCTTCACGTTTGTCAAATAGACAGCATAATAACCATTTTTGTAATGAGATTAAAAGACAAGGCGTTCAGAATGAGTAGGATGTGGAAAGTAAACTTAGTCGCATATGATACTGATAATAAATGGATCATGCCAGATCAAAAGTAGAGAATGCACCATTACACCATTTAAGTTTGGATATATGATTAAAGAGTGTTACGTGAGATGCTAATCCTCTTCTTCACGGCGGCAACCTGTCCCCACTAAATCCATCCCTATAACACCTACGAATCCCAGAACAGTGTCATCGGCAAGACAGCAGGTAAGCATGCATTGCCCAAGCATCAAGGAGGTGATGGAAGAGTTTGCCTTTGGGGAGATGAAGGGGGTTGGTGTCTAAGGAAGCAACCCAATAACTTGACGCTATTCTTATGGCCAACCTAGGAGAAGATCACGACCTTGTTGATGAAATGTTTAACCTTGGCCTATAAGACCACTCTGCACATTTTTTTATGGTAACAAAGGTACAAATGGGGGACACACTTGTAGATGAGATTGTAGCCCTCACAGCCAAAGATGCGACTTTACTATAGTTTGTTGATGACCATCTTGGGCTATTCGGAGATGAAGGTCTAATGGTTGGTGTGAGTGCAAATTAGTCTAGAAATGATTTGTAAGGATAACGAAGCAGCAATTAGCATTTCATACAAATTAATATAATATGGAGACAAAAGAAAAGGGATATAAGAGAACAGAGAAAATTGGCAGATGAAAATATATAGGAAAGGCGGATCATAGTTTTATGCAATAAATCTCCATCCAAGTTTCATAACATAAGACAAGCCTCTTATAAAAAAAATAATGCTAATAATGCAGTATTAAAATGTGTGATCTTAAAAAAATAAATTCACTTATTAAAGATTTAAAACATGTCTAAATTAAATAGACACAGCTAAGAAAAAAAAAATCAACAAACATGCATGTCTTCCATCATTATTGCTTCTCACATTTTTTTCAAAATTGTCATGTTAATAATATTTTGAAATTAGCAAGACTACCAATTTTACCATACCCAACCGTTCAAGCTTTAATTGTGTTAGCTGTTAGATATGCAATTAAATAGTATTCCGATGCCCAAGAAAAAAAAAAACTTCTCAGGCTAAGACTTCACAACAAGAAAAAAAAAAACTTCTCAGGCTAAGACTTCACAACACTGTCCTTCATAAAATGTTAATTTGTGTTCTACCTAAAATCCTCACATTTTGAACCATTCAAAGTACTAATTACTCGTTCCGTCTTTCAAAATCAGGTAATGAGGCCCAGTTGAGAATATAAGATTTTGCTATAGCAAAGCCGTTCATTTATCCCTTCCAAAAAATACATACTTACATGTTCAAGCCTCAAGCTACCACATATGCATGCAACAGTCCACACAGACAAAGCAGTAGCTTCCTCCTCCGCCAAAAGTGCACTGTGTGCCTGCAAGTTACCAAAACCATGGACTAAAATACACAAGGTTTGGTTCCAAATGTTACATAGCTCCTAATTTGGAGAACACTACATTTTACTTTTGGGGCATTTACATATGTACCACTCAATTCAGATTTAAATATATAACACTAAACATTCATATTCACATATATAACACTCAAATCTTTGGCATCACATAGAAGCACCACTAACAGTAACCTTTTAAAAGTACAAAACACCTTTTCATGCATAGGTTTTCATGCCAATGTGTTGTAAACATAAATATCAAACTTTAGGTGCTAGATATATAAATGCATAAGAATTGTTTGATATATATGTAAATGCCCCTTTACCTTTGTGAGTCTAGCTAAGAACCATAAATTGCATACCTCTGACACTTCCAAACTAGTGCTGAAAGATCTGAGATCTATGCTAGATCCAGCAATATGAAGGAGAGTTTCTCCAGGCCTGTGAAACTTTAATGGATGCAAGTGCTCTAGAGGCTGGAAAGTGAGACTAGAACCTCTATCAGGGGATCTTAGCCGATAATATTCACAAATTATCTGTAAAGATCCATGTCCATTTGCCTGAAAATGAAGCACGATGTAATCAGGAGGCTTAGAACAAATTCTCAGATAAAACATACAAAATTTAAAAATTAAAAGACCTTGGCCCACTCAAGTATGTCCTCATGATCATTTGAGTCTCCATGGCCAGAGGAAGAAGGCTCTTCTAGTTCCACTTCGGACATCCCCGTCCTAAAGCTTCTCCCTTCACTAGGAGAACCTTGTAAACTGCTTTTAAAAGATTTTTTTAGATAAAAAAAGAGAAGTAAAGTTTTTTCATTAATCAACGTTTCAAAGACAATTAAAAAACATTTAATACTAACGTAAAGCTCTGAAACGTTGAATTTTGATAGACAAAACCAGTGTAGACAATGTAAATTTTTAAGATCCATCAAGTAATTGTGCTACCATACAAAATTATGCAGAAAAGAATGCTTACCCATAGAAAGAACAAGATTGTATTGTAGACAATAATATGCTCGATGCTAAATAACATTTAAGAACTTCAACAAATGAAATGCATGGTTCTGCAGCCTTGAGCCTTCAAACAAAGTTCCCCTAAAAATTAGTTTTTAAGAAAGTTTCATGACTTGCTATCTTTTAGAAATTTCAAAATGAAAAAAATCATCTAGACATTCTCTTATGCAGAAGCATGATTGGAAGAACCTTACATTTCTCTGGGTGAAATAGATCTGATGGAATCACTCAAAAGAGGCAGAAAGAGAGGAGGATAGGGTTAGAGTGAGAATAGCCCTGAGTGTTGTAGGGGTTGAGATGTCTTGTGTGAGTGCGCAAAAATGATAGAACGAATAGTTTGTAATACTGAGTAGCCATCCCATTATGCAGTATAAATTAAATATTGTACCTCAAAAAAGACCCAATTTTCATAAGCCAGTCAAAGGAGTCCAACCAAGCAACAAAAAAGCTAAAACAGATCGATTTTAGTCATGTTTTATAATTGTTGAATTTCTATCATTATCTTTTATATATTGTTTTGGTTCAATTATCTTTTTTTTAATATTAGATAGGATTAAATTTGAATTCAAATAATTAGTCTTATCTTCACAACTTCATTTCTATAAAAACAGATGCAGGTTTGGTAATTCTTCATTGATTGACGATCGAATGCTAATTATTTGTGAGCCAAATTTAGTGTTCTTCAAATCCAAGTTGTGTGCCTAGATCAATCCAAATTGTGCGCACAAAATTTCTCCGACTCCCCCACAGCATCAATTTTATTATTAGAAGTAAATAATTTGAATCTTCGATTTTTGTAAACCTATTGATCCAGCCAAATCCTAGATTGCAGCTATGCATGCATCGCAAAACCCCAATGACACGAGAGCGTCCTATAGAACTGTGAGATCAGGCCTCCCGCGATCTCGATTATAGTATTTCCGCAATACTACAGAACTGAATTCCACAATCGCGGTAGGATCGTACAGCGCGGATCCAACCCTTCGTAATTTTTGCTCGTTTTTTTTTTTTCCTTTGCTGATTTTTCTGTAAGACGCTCAATAGGACTCGATGGAGAAAATAATTCATGTAGTTGATCCCATTTAGTGGGATAAAGTCATTGTCATTGTTGTTGTTGTTGTTGTTGTTTTGATTTCTTTCCAATTTTCCTCTTTCTAATTATGTTATTTTCTGTGGGGGAATTATTTATATCTTGTTATTTTCTGTTTTTCTGAACTTTTTCCTGATATTATAGTATTTAGAGATGTTATATGTTTTAAGCTCTTTGGAGTGTTGTATCATTTCCTGTTGCAAGTTGTGAGTTTGTGTCTTGCTCATGAACAATCGGTGGATCTGCCTTGCCATACGCACCTCGTCGTTTTACCTATCACCCGTTGTTTTTAGCCAGACAACTGTCAAAATCACGCCAACCTGTTGTTCAACAACAGATTTCAGTTGTCAAACACCGCATAACTCTTCCAAAGCTCGCCAACTGCACATTTTCATTTCCTCATTATTCCGCAACCGATTCCCCACTAAATCTCCTCCCCAAAAACTTTTTAGAAACCATTAAAAGGTGTCATTTGGTATCCGAGCCAATCGGAATTTAGATTGGAAGAACGAGATATTATGCAGCCATGAAGAAATCCTAACCGAGGTGCTCAAGAAATTACTATGGAGGACATGAAGCAAGAAATCCTCCAATTACAATGGAGGATTGTTGGTAATGAAAGAATGTATGTTGGGAAAGTCACTCACAACAACGACCACCCAAATGAACAAGATAAAACAAACCCTTTCTATCAAGAACCTTGAAGTGACGAAGAGCCAATGTTGCGTCGGTTTGGCATTGAGTATAGCAGAGAGAGACTGATTTTAGAGAAAAAGTGGTTTTTGTCAAATTTTGACGGTTGCATGGATCCGAACAAGTTTATGAAATGACTTCAGACAGTGGAATGGGTCTTTGAATATGGACATTCCACCTAATAGAAGGGTAAGGCTATCTCTCATTAAGTTAAAGAAGATTGTATTTCTATGGTGGAAAAATTTAGAACACATGCCTATGTCAGCGAAAGAGGAAAAAAAATCACTCTAGTCCAAGATGTAAAAGGAGATACAACGCAAGTACTTGCAGTGCATTACAAACAAAACGTGTTCTTGAGGCTTCATCACTTAAGCAAAAATATATGTCAATTGAAGAGTACACATTGAGTTCGAACAACTTACCCGGGGTAAATACAATGGCACAATATACAGGGGAAATGAGATCGTCTGTTGGCAATATAATACGATTGCAGCCTTATTGGATCTTACAGAATGTACAAACCTCGGTTTTGAAGATGAAGAGATAACACCACAAATATCAGGTCCAGGCAACCTTCCAAACTGGATTCCACCTTCAGATTAAGTAGCAAGAGTACACCGACCAGAATACCTAAATCTACCCTTGTGAAAAGAAGCCAGCATAGGCAAAAAAAAAAAAAGGTTTGACCAGACCAACACGCACAAGACATTTCCAATTAGTAAATGTTTCAAATGTCAAGAATTTGAGACATTGCATCCAACTATCCGAATAGGAGAGTGATTTCTTTTACTAAGCATGGTGCATTAGAGGATGCAGAGAGTGAAAACCCATAAGAGACTCAAGAGAAGTATCAACTACTCATAGTTGATGGTGTGATGCTTGTGGTTCAACAAGTTCTCCAGGCAAAGCCTAAGATAAACCAACAATTGCTCAGGCATAACATCTTACGTACTTGTTATACTGTATAGGAGGTGCACAATCTCATTATAAATGGATGCAGTTGTGAAAATAAGGTATCTACCCAGATGTTAGATAAATTAAGCCTCATTATACAAAGAATTTTTGGCCATACTTTCTGAATTTGTTTAAGGGGAATGAGATGTGTGGTGAAAAGAGATGTCCAGTGGAATTTTCAATTGGAGACAGGCTGCTAGATCAAGTTTGGTGTAATGTCATTCCTATGGATGCATGTCATATTTTGTTAGGTCAATCGTGACATGACGATAGAGGTACACTTCATGTTGGTCAAAAAAATACCTAAACCTTTAATAAGGACGAGATATGTATTGTACTTCTGATATATAAGGAATTCGCATTATGAGTGCTCAGATAGAGATAAGAATCATTGTGTATCATGTTGCATTCTTACAGGCTATGAGAGGGGCGCCAATGAGACTAATCTTTGAGATGTTGGAGAGCAGTGAGACAGAAGAACCAACACCTACGATAGTGTGACCGTTATTAGAGGAGTTTCAAGATGTTTTGATTGATAACCTACTGGCTAGATTGCCTCTATTAGAGAGGTCCATCCTGTCATCACTTCAAGCAAAAATGAAAAATGAGTAATCTTTTAGAGAATCTATGAAAAGAATTAAGTAATAAATTTCAGTTCAGTTCAATAGTGTTCTCCCAGACTGAAAAACATATGTGAGTGACGAACCTTAGCTTTGGAGATCTCTTTATGTATTTTGTGGAAAAGAACATCCGAAAATGAGATCAAAGTCCTTGCGGAAAAGAAGAAGCCTTTCCTAGTTGGGGAGATTTACATGGGAGTGACTTGTAGAGCAGCAGGATCATGTCTCCAATGATCCCGATCACAGTATTTCCATGTTACCGCGGAATCAAAGGATTCAACGATCGTAGGAGGGTCAAACTGAGTGGTTCCGACTCGTTATAATTTTTGCACGATTTTTTTTCCTTTTTTGATTTCTTTCCTATTGTTCTATTTTTAATTACATTATTTTTTGTGGGAAAACTATTTATATCTTGCTATTTCTTTTTTCTGAACTTTTAGCTATATCTAAACCACAATAGAAAAATAAAATATTCTTACTGAAAGCAAATGGGCGGTTACAACTAACACGTTTGAAAGAAAAAATACAACACACGACACCCGAAATCTTGAAATAGCAACAAACACGACACAAATATTTTAACTAGGGTGAATCTCGGGGTGGTGGTGGTGATCGTTGAGGGTTTGGCCTTTCGACAAGGTGGCAAAAAGCGAATGAAGGCTGGAAGGCACAACAGCAGTAAAGGACATGGACGGACACAAATATTTTAACTAGGGTGAATCTCGGGGTGGTGGTGGTGATTGTCAGGGTTTGGCCTTCCAACAAGGTGGCAAAGATGAGTGAAGGCAGGAAGGCACAGCAGCAGTAAAGGATGTGGACGGTGACAGCGAAGAGAAGAATGATGGGACGTTCTGATCGAGCAGAAGGGTCGAACAACGAAGCACTGTGATATAGTGAGTACAAGAGACAATGCAACAACCCTAGCTCCCTTGTATATGAGGAAATGGCTTTGTGCGTCGAAGATGGCGTCAGACAAATCCTATGTATTCGTTGTTGTCATCGGTGATGAGGAAGCTTCGCTGGATGGAACTGTCACTTACAGAAGCAAAAATGACAACCCTGTGAAAACTTCTTCTGGTGGAGATTAATTCGGAATACATTTTTTGTCAATACTTGGATGGCTAGCAGGGGAACTAGAGATGATCGAAATTGCCCTTAGGGTTGTAGTGAACCCGAGGATAGATCACATATTTGCTCCAAATGTAAAATAGTGTTGGCATTTTTTACTGCTCTATGAGGGGTTTTAATATTCAGATGCAACACTAATGGGAGGATATTATCCGGCCACTTGCTTTTGCTGATGAAGCACATTTTGCTCTCAATCGTATCTACTACAAAACTATTTACCAGTGTTACAAGTCCAGGAACAATAAAAAGCATGGTAAGCTTTTTGGCACACACAGCATCATTGTGACCACTGTTTTGGAGGCCTTCTCTCACTCTTATCTAAATCCTATTTGAGAGCAAGAGGACATTGTCTAGCCACATGGGCTGTCCACCCCCCCCCCCCCCCCCCCCCCCCCCCCCCCCCCCAGTTGGCTAAAGGTAAATGTGTATGGAGCTCTTCCCTCTTCCTATGCGGATGGTCTTGGCATGGTTGTTCGGGGCGAGGTGGGTAATTGCCTCGTGCCCACGTACAAAAAATGGAAACACTGGGACAACACAAGAGTGAGTGGAGCTGGAGGCGATCCTTGCCATCAAGAATTAGATTCAGCCTTGGAAGTTTGAAGCCCGCGGGATTATCATTGAAGGGGATAACAGAAATGTCATTGGCTTTCTCCAAAGTACCATGGATCAAAGAATATGGAGTCAACAACATCGACATAGCCCGAACATTGCTTTCTTATCTACTTTCAGACAGGTGATTTTCCAGTTTACTCCCCGTTTTTGTAACAAGGCAGTCAATTTTTGTGCTCAGATAGCCTTGAATGATTGATTTTTACGTTTTAATGTGAATAGTTCACATCACCTTTTATTATAGAAAATGATAGGTTGCATACTTGTAATACCCAAGGAGTATAGTTTTGATATGTGTTCCTTTTGATTAATGCAAAATGCACACCCTTCACAGTTGGAACCGTCATTGGAAAAGCAAAGGATGCTTCGATACTTCTTCAACCTCGAAGCTTTCAGAGGACTAAAAAGACGAAGCCCCCAAACACGAACAAAAGATTTCCCAGCTTTGATACCATATAGAATTTCGGAACAAAATTTTATTTTTCATTCCTTGCATTACACCTTACTACATATATATAAAAATGTAGTCAGGATGCCCATCCACAAAATGGGAAACAAGCAACCTTTTAAATTAGGAATCCCATCAAAGTAGGAAAAGTAGAGAATCAAGAAATATCTAATAAACAGAAACACAATTAGTGTGATATAATCTGAGGGAAGGAAATAAATTCCTTTATAATCAAGCATGTGAATTGACACTATCAAACATTTCCCTCACCATCTCTCCATCACTCCATCCCAGTATAAAGTAGGAGAGATCAAAGAGAACAGAAGTAAGATTTTTGAAAAAGTGAGGGATTACTCGTTTTACCTAGGCTAGCCAGAAACTTGTTAGAAAGTACTCAATGTAACGTCTTCATTCATGGCAGAAAGTGTATGTCCAGTCAAAAATAGTAACCATGGTGTAAGATGATATAAGTTCATCTACTTGCAAGCAATTTATCCAATATTGAAAACACCTTGAACATGGATAGTGAAAATAATTAAGTGCATGGTCACATGAAAGATCAACCATGATAAGAAAAAGTATTTATGTACTAAGCCCATAAAGATTGACAGTCTACAAAATTGAGGAGCCAGCTTATCGCCAAAAGAACAAAAAAATATCTTTTTATTTTGTTTATGAACACACAACAAAACAGGACTGTTTCACAAACTTTATATGTCAAGAAATTGTCTTCATTACTCATGGTGGAAAATAATACCTTGAAGAGGATTCTGAACTTTCATAATGGTTGTACCGTAAAAGGGGTAGAACTGCCTCAGGAAGATGCTTCTCTGACTGTTTTTTCTGTACTTCATAGTCAACTGAACAATCATGCCCATTTTGGACAGCATAATCCTGCGCATCTTCAGCTGTATGACTTTCAGGTTCTACAACCACTTGAGTTGTTTCATTGATGATTAAGGCTCCATTAGTCTCTTGGCGCACTTCAGGCATCATATTATCAATAGAATTCACTTCATCTGCTGTCTTCTGAGGGGATGCAATTTCAGAAGTCGGTGTAGAACATTCAATGTTACCATCCTCATCACTATCAGACAAAATTACTGCCTCCCTACCATTAGAATGGCCATGGTTTTCTTTGTCATCATAGCATTCAGGAGATTCCAGACACAGCATGTGAATTCCTTTCTTCAGCTGTTGTAACCTTTCTTCAGCGAATATGCTACGCAAGGAAAAAAGGCACAAGTCATCATTCTGAAGAAGGAGAAGAAATAAAATATAAAATGTTACCCAAATATACAAGATCATCATCGCCAACCTCATGGTATAATCTAGAATAATTTCTCTTTTGTAAAATAAGTATGATTAATAAACAGTATTGATGAATTAAATTTGACCATAAGAATTTCCGTTGAAGAAATTGCGTTGCATTTATAAAATTATCTGTTATAGAAAAAGTATAGTTTTTAAAACCTGTTATGGTTATTATAAATTTTTTCTTTTCCGAAAAAGTTAAAAGAACTTTCTTGCAGCAAATATGGTAGTGAAAAGCTTCTCACCAAAAAATTTCCAAATTGCAGCAAGAAAGGTACAACCAAATAAAGCTTGGTCAATGATGTTTAAAATAAAGCTATGACAGAGTGTTTATAAACACAGCCAAAGTTGTTCATGATATAATCGATATTTCTCATGAGCTTGACAATATTTGCTACGGTTTGTGCACAAGTTTCTTATGATGCAATAACATTTTGTGACATGCAACTTCTACTTGCATTTCCTCTAGTTTGGATGGATAAAAGGGAAAATCAAACCCTTTAATGCATATCGTCATTGACGTAAACTAGGAATACATTAGAAGACAATAAAATGCTAGTTGATATGTTGTGTGGTGGCGCACACATTATCACGCAAGTAATAAACATTGATCAAATAGTATACAGATAATGAGTCTATGCTATTGATTTCACAATAACATGTTACCTCTCAAATAAGTTTAATTACAACTTTACTAATTTTAAGTGTAATCCAAAATGTTTCAAGTTTTCGAAGTTTTTAAAATATCTAAATCAAAATTTCAAAGTTAAAAACTAAAATTTAGGGAAAAAGATTTTCTAATCAGTTTGAAAGTCTCCTTTGAATTAGTTTAATAAAACATAAGTTCATCCAAGTGATTCATCTACTGTAGTTATCAATCGGTGATAATACTTCTTATTCTTTTCCGAGATATAACAAGTGTTAGAATTCATCTTATAGTTATGCTTCCCTAATAAGAATCTTAGGATTCTTTATTTCCTTTTGTGATTCCAATCTCCTAATGGAAATATTCCTATTCCACCAAAAGATTGTATTTTAACCTAATTGTTCTTCTAATCTTCTTCTGATAGTCCTAAATCACAATTGATTTAACATTTCAAGTGGCAAGCAAAAAGTAAACTAAGCATTGAAGGTTAAAATAACAACTTAAAATCATTCATGAGTTCCACGAATCGAGCATAAGTTTTTATAGATTTTAAAGAATACTAATCCAGAGCAAGAAATTTTAAATGTTATGTATGACTTGAAACCAAAAAATGAACTGCATTAAAGAAATCAAATTCACTACTGTTGATTTAGCATCATTTTTTGTGTTGAATTCATGTCTACTTCCATCTAAATTGATTAGGGCAGGACTTTGCATCAAGATGCGTCGGTGCAAACCCTTCGCGTCGAAATATTTTGACGGAATATAATTACTTAATAGCATTTAACGTTCAGACAATAAATTCGACCCTAACTAATTTGTGTTAGAAAAAGCTGACACAAAAGCCGACGCACAGACTCTAAAACTATATTCTTGCGCCAGCGAGCCTCAATCGTGCTTCCACTATTCAATTACTTTAGGGCTCCGACAATGATTCTTTTCCACCAAGTATTTGATGACTTTAGGAGGTCGCAGCTCTAGCGAGTATTTCTCCTCTCCGAACTTAGATAAAGTTCTTTTTCCGTTTAGGGGCTTCCCCTTTCTTATTTTTTCTGGAATTTATATTAGATGTGTATGTAAAAATTGAAGTTTAGGTAGATATGCAATATATATGAATTGAGTAGAATGTATGTAAGAAGTGGAAGTTTAGACCATAGATATATAATACATAAGAATTGAATGAAATGCATGATTAAAAAAAAATGTAATTTTAGGTTTTAGATATGAAAAACATAAGATAAATGGAATTCATGTAAAAATTGGAGTTTAGGTCTTAGATTTGTAATACAAAAGAATATAGTGGAATGTATGTAAAAATTGAAATTTGGGTGTTTGATATATAATACATAAGAATTGTGTGGTTTGTATACAAAAATTGAAGAGTGGGCATTAGAAATGTAATACATAAGAATTCAACGGAATTTATGTAAAAATTGAATTTATTTGTTAGATATGTAAATACATATGAATTGAGTGGAATGTAAGTAAAAATTGAAGTTTAGGACTTAGATATGAAATACATAAGATTTGAGTGGAATGTATGTAAAAATTCAAGTATAGGTGTTAGATATGTAATACATAAGAATTAAGTGGAATGTATATAAAATTTGAAGTTGAAAAGTTACATATGTAATAAATAAGAATTGAGTGGAATGCAGGTAAAAATTGAAGTTTAGGTCGATATACACAAATACGAGCATGCGGAAAGTTTTACTAATTTTCCAACTGAATCAAGCTCACCTGTCGAAGTGGCTGAATCGAGCCCACCTTCAGAAGGGGTTGAATCAAGCCCAGTTATCATAGTGGTTGATTGAGCTAGGCTGCCAATTCAATCATTCTCATATTCCTCAAAAGGGTAGCCTAGCCCACCTATGTAAGGGTAGCTATCAGAGATAACCATCTAGACTGATACGAAGTCATCATGACCAATAAGAACATTCGTCAATCCCTTTTTAAGATGGCACCCGATAACTATGACTCAATCCTTTCACTCAGGAACCAGGGATGACCACTGTACCAACAATACTTGACATCAGTTGGCAATACCTAACATTCACATCACAGTCTTTCTATCAAAATATCAGAGAAAAGCAACATGCAATACAAGATGTACAACTTTGACTATTTTATTGATTTTCTCCCTTATGTATAAAAGGGGAGGGAAAGGATACAGAAGGACCGTTTTTTTTCTCTGGATCTTCTCTTTTCTCTCCCCACACTGGAGATTGCTTTCCATCTCCATTTCCTCTTGTTCTCTCTAAAATCCTATAACTCAGGGAACCTCTAGGGATCCGCCTCCCTCCAACTTGCCTGTGAATGAAATTTAATGCATTTTCTAAGGTTTCCTTAAAAGACTCCAATCTATCTCTCCCCTTATCATTATCTTTATGATACAAAGTTTTTTACTAGGTTGTATGTGCTAACGAACAATATGAGACTGTCTCATAACCATTCAACATGGTCTTAGATATGTAATACATAAGATTTGAGTGAAATGTATATAAAAACTGAAGTTTATGTGTTGATATGTCATACATAAGAATCGTGTGGTTTGTATGTGAAAATTGAAGTTGAGGTGTTAGATAAGTAATATGAAAGAATTGAGTAGAATGTATGTAAAAATTTATGTTTGGGTGTTATATATGTAATATACAAGAATTGTGTGGAATGTATATAAAAATTGAAGTTTAGTTGTTAGATATGTCATACATAAGAAATGTGTGATTTATATGTAAAAATTGAAATTTACAAGTTAGATATGTGATATATAAGAATTGAGTGGAATTTATTAAAAATTGAGGTTCGATATTATAAATGTAACACATATGAATTGAGTGGAATGTATTTAAAAATTGAAGTTTGGGTGTTAGAAACGTAATGCATAGGAATTGAGCGGACTGTATCTAAAAATTTAAGTTTAGATTTTGATGTTAAAAATGTAATACAAAAGAATTGAGTGAAATGTATGTAAAAAATTGAAATTTTAGAAGTTACATATGTAATACATAAAAATCGAGTGGAATGTATGTAAAATTTAAAGTTTAGGTATTACATATGTAAAAAATAAAAATTGAGTGGAATGTATGTAAAAATTGAAACGTTCGTAATACATATAAATTCAATGGAATGGATGTAAAAATTGAAGTTTAGTTTGATATGTAATACCTTAGAATTTAGTGGAATGTATGTAAAAATTGAAGCATAGGGCTTAGATATGTAATACATAAGAATTGAGTGGAATGTACGTAAAAATTGAAGTATAGATCTTAGATATGTAATACATAAGAATTGAGGGGAATATATGTAAAAATTGAAATTTAGGTGTTATATTTGTAATACATAAAAATTCAATGAAATGTATTTAAAAATTGAACTTTAGGTCTCAGATATGTAATACATAAGCATTGAGTGGAATGTGTAATAATCACTTTTGTGAAATTAGGTAAAATTTTTTTACGACTCAAATTGTACCTCAAATTTTGCATCCCTCGGATTTTAACTAAATCATTTTTTTAAAATTCTATGCGTCAAATCGATCAATTCGATATAAAACGTCATATATAAATTTTCAAATAAAATAAAAAATATAAAATTTGAGGTATTAGGTTTAATAACCTAATTATTTCTTATTCTTCCACAACCTCACAGTTCACAACCTACATTCTCGTGATATTTACCATTGTATGCGTCAAGGTGGGGGGAGGGGAGGGTGCTCGCCTGTCTTCGAATTACTCTCCCATCTGTCTCGGTCCCGTTCCACAAAGGTTCACTGTTGGCTACTGTAGCGCAGGTCACGAGCAGGCATAAACACGCGACCACAGGCAGTCGTAGGCGACTGTCTGAGGTTCCAAGGAGAAAACGAAAGATGTGAAACTCACTTTAGAGATATTCTAGACATCAATTTTCTTTCAAACACTTCCAATTTGAGATTCTTCATTTTTATCGTCATAGCGGACACTACGTTGTGTCAAAAGTGACAAATTTGATTTGTGAACCTCCATAAGGGCCTTTTGTGAGATATCGCAAAGATAGAAGAATAATCAAGGTGATAAGAAAAAGACGGAAAAAGATTTGGTAGCTTCGGAGAAGGGTTTGATTATGTCACGAAGCACGTTTGAGGTACGTTTTAGCAAATCCATAATGTATTCGGTTAAACCATTTTATGAACCAAGATATCCTGAAAGCCTAAAGATATTTTAAGGTTATCACAACGCTCAGCTAATTAATGAATAATGAGAAACTAGCGCGGCAACTGAGGTGAGTAATTATATTTTTAAATTTCAGCAATCTTCTTTATTTCAAAATGAATGTTTAACTCCATGTATGCTCTAGTTTAATTAGATTCTTCATATTATTAGACCAAAAAAACATGTATGATAAGCAAGACAGAAAAAGATGTTTATTATACGAAAGATATGCATGAGATAAGAGATACAAATGATATGAAAGATCTGTAAGATATAATAGATATGCATGAGATGAGAGATATAAATAATATAAGAGATATGTATGATAATTAGTTGCACAGTAGAGTATGCATGTTAGTAAATGAATGAAGATGTCTCAAAAGAATGTCTTATGAAAAATAACATAGCTTATATATGATGTTTAACACTGCCACACTAGTAGCCTTGTTGGACCTAGTAGTCTTTATGATGTTTCTTAATCTGTTTAACAATTTCTTTTCCTACCTATTTATGAATTTCTCTAACACTAGTTTCTACATCAGTATTATGCTCCATATTGAAATGTATAAACACTGCCACCACTAGTGTCTCAAAAGGCTTCAACCTAAGGACTGATTACTGAATGTAAAATTTCACTGTAAAGTGACACCATAAATTCAGGTAAATTAATTCTAAGCGAAGAAGAATAATTTGTTTAACAAGAATTGCTTAAATCTTAAAGTTTAATATTATGTTTTACAAGTTATTAAGCTCAACAAAAAAATTACCACAACCTCCAGCTAGTTATCTAAGATTAAGATTTTAGTGTCGCAACCAGGGTAGACAATTACATTTTTAAATTTCAGTAATCTTCTTTATTTCAAAATGTATATTTGACTTCATATATGCTCTAGTTTAGTTAGATTTTTCATACCATTTTAAACAAGATAGATATGCATGAAAGATATGTATGAGATGCACAATATGTATGATATACATGATCTGCAAGATAGACATGATAAAATAGATACACATTATAAGCACGATAGAAAATAATATGAATGATATAAGGCATATGCATGATAAGAGAGTTGTATGCTAAATAGTTGCGTAACAAAGTAAATATGCGTGTTAATAGACGCATAAAAAAATCTCAGAATAATGTATATAATAAAAATGAAATAACTTATATATGAATACTTGTATGTGCATGTTCAGAGAAGAATTTCACCCCATAATGGTACAGACATGATACGCCAGTATACCACGAGCATAAAGTTTTTCTACCACCTCAAACAATTGCAATGGTTAAATTATTAACCGTTGTGCCAACGGGATAATATCGGTCAGAGGAGAGTAGACTAGAGCATACCTCTCCAGACAATTATAATGTTTACATTACTACCACTGTGCCGACAGGAAAATATCTGTCAGGGTAGATAAGGGTCTTTCAGACCTAGATAATTGCAATGTGTAGATCACTAACAGATATGTCGACTGGGCAATATCGGCAATAGCATGTTAGGTTTGTTGAAGGTGATCATCACAGAGATAGAAATGTATGTAAAGAGTATAAAGTAAAACTAAAAGTTAAGATAAATGCATATAGACGATTAGTGTATGTTCATTAAAAAAAATATCATTGATAAATGATTTAACATATATAAAAGTTCTTATAATAATATGAAAGTTTAGCATATTAAAGGATTTCTTATAGAATATGAAATACCAGCATAATATAAGTGTTTTTATAATATTGTATGCATATTAAATTCTTTTGATTAGATTACTATGGTTTAGAAGTGTGATTACTTCTTGTTTTTATTTAGATAACTCATTATGTTGCTTTAATATCATATTTAGGTTTTAAACATTTGAAAAAGAAGAATAGAAGAAGAGTAAATATATACAAGAAGCGAGAACAATAACAAAAAAGCACTAATTATTACTTAGTAATTTTAATTGTTATTTTTTAGTGGCTCTTTCACGTATTATTTTAATATTAAACTGCTTGTGATAGAAATAGATAACAAAGAATTAATTCTACCGTCCAACAGTCCATTCTCATCTTGGTTAACTCCAAGCCATAGGTCAGATCGTGACATCAAATCCTTCACTCCACAAGAATTTAAACCATGTATTCCCACTCACATAGGAAAGTTCCCACAAATTTGTAAATACTAAGGTATGACATTTTTCTAAGATGCTTCCTTCTCGATACTAAAAGATTTAAGTGATGACCAACAAAATAAAGGTTTAAAGTAATTTTCTTGATATTTTAGTTCTAGAATAATCACTTGTAGGGAACCTATTTGATACCGGAGTTAACCCAAATCACATCAGGAAAAATAAATAATATTACTAAAAGCAAATAAGTGGTTACAACAAAACAAACTTGAAAAGAAAAATACAATAGCACGGCGCTAAGAAATCTGAAATAACAACAGACATGACACAAACATTGACACTGGGGTTGGATCGGGGGCGGTGGTGGTGGTCAGCAAAGGCTTGGAAGGTGGCAGAGTGGTGGACAAGGCGGTTAGCAAGCAGAAAACTTTATGACACCGGTTTCCAATGGTTCGGGTTGAAAGAAAGCCACAAAGATTGTTGTGGGAGGGTTGTCCAGGAAAACGATAGCAACAATCCAGCCGACCCGGAGCAACAACAACAATAGTGTGGGTGATTTGGAATGCCG